TACCTTGCAAGTAGAACATGACAAGTTGTTGCCCTTGACAGCAGAAGAGGGCAAACTGTTTTTTCTCTATTTTGGAGTTAGGTAAAGGAACAGAAAAAGATTTGTTGTTTATCTGTACTTCACCTTCCGAGAAAGTAGGAACAAGCAGTGGGGCAAGGTAATCTGAAATTTAAGGAAATTCATGTACCAGTGCCTAAACTGCAGGCTAATCCTTAGATTATTCTGGTCAGTAAAGGGAAATAAAGGCCCTTCTTTCTTTGTCTCTATACATCCCTCCTGATCAGCCACAGTTGGACACACTATAACTTGACTCCAACCTAGTGATGTCATTTTGGTCCTCTTAGAGAAGGAAGGACAACCACCACCAACTTCCCTCCTCCTCCTTGAAGTTTTAAAAGCTTCACTAAATCAAATTTACAGCCAGAACCACATAATGAGAGTTAGGGGAACAGCTAGATGGTATTAGATAGCAGAGCACTCGGGTTATACATTTGGAGATCTGTAGGACTAGGAAAAAAACTAAAATAACAATGACCATGAAGATTAAGACTAGGATTAGATTGTGGATTAAGACCAGAATGAGATTGTGGACCCATAATGAAACAGATACCTAAATAAAGGAATCCTGGGAATAGGGCCCAACTCATTTTTTATTTGTTACATGGTGTTGGGAGAAGAAAAGGCCTTAGATAGTGTGGAGATCACCTCTGTAAGTTTGTATTGATTATTGCAGATGCACCAAGAGGTAGGTTGACTCTGGAATAGTCTTGACCCCAAGGAGCAAGGTGAATATCTTGAGCTGTTCTGTTGTCAGTAGAAAACCAATGGAGTGATGGACTCTCAGTCAGGAATGCCTATAGAGAGTTGGCTATTGGCAATAAATTCCACAGATGCAGAGAAATTCTTTTCAAGGTCATAAACTCTAAGGTGTGATACTGGTGTACCTAGAAGCCAGTGGAAGAAGTTGGAGGAATATTCATTGCTTGTGGCTAGATTATGCCAATATAATAAAAATTATAATACTATCAAATTTAATTTACATTTTTAATGCTATACCAGTAAAGTTGCCAAGGGGATACTTTATACAACTTGATAACATGATAAAGGTCATTTAGGAAAAGCAAAAGATACCTACGGAAATGATGAAAAGGAGTACAAAGAGATGATAGCGTTCTAGACCTCAGACTGTATTATAAAGCAGCATTTATCAAAAATGTCTGGTATTGGTTAAAAAATAGGGAGGTAAATTGATGAAACAGACTAGACAAGGGAGAAGTGAAATAGTGTAACTCAATAACCCAGGGTCCCATGAACCAGAAAACTTAAAATTACTTGGGAAAGAAAACTCTGTTTCATAAAATCTGCTGGGAAAACTGGAAAAGAGTCTGGCAAAAACTAGGCTTTCGCCAGCACTTTATACCACATTCCACAATACATTCTTTTTTTTTTTTAAAGACAATTGGGGTGAAGTGACTTGCCCAGGGTCAAATAGCTAGTAAGTGTCTGAGGCCAGATTTGAACTAAGGAAGATGAGTCTTCCTGACTCCAGTGCTCAGCACTCTATTCCCCTGTACCACCTAGCTGCCCCTGAAATGGTAGTGGTCCCTTTAAGAGAAATGGTGAAGTTCAAAATGTTGTTTGAGGAGAAAGATAATGAGTTCAGTTTTGGACATGTTGAGATGTCTCCAGGACATCTACTTTGAAATATCCAGTAACCAGTGATTCAGAATGGTCAGGGAGAGCTTATCAGCTGCTCTGACCAGACCATTTCCCCAACTTTTCCCAGCAGTGAATTCATCTATCCAGTACTGGTTTTAAAAGGTAGGTGTATTACTCAGCTTACTAAAATTTCCCCTTAAAATGATGGGTTGCTGATTCATTACCATTAGTGCTTTTTCCTGGATCTAAAAGAGATTATAGGTAACAAGTCAAATCCAAGAGATTCCAACTCAGTAATTGCCACTGCTGACATCTTAAATCAGTTGTTTTGCATTAACATTAATAAGATGATAAATTAAGACTGTTATAGTTTTAGCAGAATACATCTTTTTGAAAGTAACCATCTTTTATATCTACAGAATGCGTGTAAAATATTTTTAAATTCATTTAATTCCTTTCTGTTTTATTTTCACCTTGCATTCATAATTACATACATTTCATTCATAATTCATTTCAAAGTATGTATCAGTGATATGAAGTAATAATCATGAAGGTAAAATAACATTATAAGAATTTACAGAGAAATAGTAGGGGCTTAACCCAGCTAAAGTAGGTTCATATCTGAGCTTGTAGGGTTTTTATTGCATTTTTAATCCTCTTCTTCAGAAGTAGGAGGCTCGCACAATCACCTTGCCTTTCTATTTCAGTTTTAATCTTTAGAGAGGCAAATCTTTTCAAATGGAATCTTCCAAGGTAGGAAGAACCCTAATGATTAAAATGCTGGTGTCAATGGTATTTGATGAGGGAATGGAAGTTTTTAACAAGAAATATTAGTATCTTATGTGGATTGTAAAACTTAACAATACATGAAAATGTAGAAGTTGTCTGCTGTTCCATTATTTCAGTCAATTTCCCAGTATCATACGATATATCCCAAAAGTCTTAGTTCAGTTTTAAACCACTAAAACTTAAAACTGTACTAAGACTTTTGGAACACTCTATATGCTTGGCAGATAGGATAATATGGCATTTTTATTGAAATAGTGAAAGAGACTTTGAAGTATATCATTTAGTTGAGAGTTTGAGCCATAATGTGGGGCAAATAATTATCTGTAAGGCAGAATAAGTATACTTTAAATTATCCTGAGATTATCCTTTGATTTGATAGTAATCTAAAATCAGAAATTACAATAGTGAATAATTACTAATTCAACATTACTCCCACTAAAAAAAATTAATAATAGCAAGAGCAAAAAGGGTTTTTTTTACCATTAATAAATTTTTTAAATATTTTAAATTTTATTTCATCCTTTAAAAATTTTAATTTGTATATGTTCTGTACTGCACATGATTTATTAGTACAAGAGTATATGTGTATAGTTTATAAGTGAATACCATATATAGGGAATGCCTCCTCTGATAGGAATGCATGATCAAAGAATTTTGGAGACCACTGATATGTAATTATAGCTTTTATTAAAACTTTATCACAGTTTTTCTGAGGTGTGTTCTCTTGTGCTTAATTTGGTATGAAAAAGGTAATTTCATCACTATTTTTTTGCTTTCTCCAGACCTATCATGTAAGCAAAGAAATGGGGAGACTTAGAGTCAGAAGCATTATATTTGCATAGAATGGTCAAGGCAGTAAGAAACCTTGGCTTTTGGATCACAGTTAGGAAAAATATTTCCATAGTACTGTGTGGGACAGCAACCCTAACCCAAATTAAACTCAGAGACTTCTCAAGGTGGAAAGCAAAGGTTAGCTTTATTACAATCTCGAGAGATTTGTCTGCTCCTCTGGTACACGCAGGAGAGAGGCCAGGCACAGAAAGCAAAATGAGATTATATACCCTAACGCAAAAACCTTCACCCACCATTATCTCTTACTCCCATTGGCTGGGGGGGCGGGCTTACATTCTAGGCACGAAAATTCAAAGATAAGGAAACAGGGTATAGCCAATCCAAATATACATGTCCTTATTTAGTAAACCTAATGCTGACGTAGCAGTGGTGTGATGATCAGGAGGAGGTTTAGGGCCGAATTCCCATGAGTTAAGTAATTCCTAGGAAACTGAAATTTACTTCAGTCTCCCCTCCCCAATCCCCTTCTCCCTTATCCCAGAGACAAGAGAAAGGGGGGAAGCTAAGGGCAAACTGTTTGGGTTGGGGGCAGGGCTTATTCTTTCTGTTATGTGCTTAAAAGCAGGTTCTGAGCTGGGGAGGATTTTGAAAGCAATAATCAAGAATTATTGACCTTTGAGGAGGCTTCACTTCTGAGAGTTCATCTCTCACAGTACCACATTATATATGCACTTCAGTTTATTGTGGTGTGTTTTTAAAAATATTGTTTAAAAAGTTTTGTCTCATTATAAATGAAGCATCTTGCTATAATGAAAAGATTACTAGACTTAGACTCTGACCTGGGGCAGAGTTAGAGTCGATAAACATTTGTCAAACAGTACCAGGTACTTACCTGCTGGGCAACTAGGTAGTGCAGTGAATAGAATTCAGGGCCTGGAGTCAGGAAGATTCATCTTTCTGATTTCAAATCTGTCATCAGACACTTACTAGCTGCCCTGGACAAGTCACTTAACACTTTGCCTCAGTTTTCTCATCTGTAAAATGAGCTGGAGAAGGAAATGGCAAACCACATGGACATGACTAAATAACTAAGTACCAGGCACAATGTTAAGCCCTGAGGATACAAAGAAAGGCATAAGACCATGCCTGCCCTCTAGGAGCTTACTATCTAAAGGAGGAATGCTGCAGGTTAAAAGAAGCTAAGAAGAGTGGGAAAGAAGTTACTAGGTACTGGCCTGATAAAGTCCTAAGGCAGTGATGTAAAATGACCTTAGAAAGTGAGCAGTTCAGAGCTGATTTCATCTTGTAGGTTGATGTGTTTCTGGAGCTCATGAAATCCAGAATGGTTGGATGGAACATGATGAAGTGAATTCTCTGGGTAACTTCTTTAAACTGAGGATCTGGGAGGAGTTCCCATCTATGCACTCCCTACCCTCTCCAACCTGAGAGAGACCCCAAAGGCAAGGGCTACTGAGAAGGTGTGAGTTTCAGAGTTGATTGTGTCTTGTAGAGATCATAAAGCCCAGGAAAGTAGCCAGATGGAAATGATGAAGTTTGAATTGAATCCTAGGTGCTACTTTTATAGCTGTGTGACCTTGGACAAATGGTTTGTCTAACTCCCAGGGTCATTGTCAGATTAGTTGAGATAATACATCTAATATTTATTAAACTTGAAATGCTAGCTATCACATACCATGTTATATTATGTTATAGTTAAGCTAAAGCTATCTGTACCTAATTTATTCTTCTGTTCTTTATAGTTCTCTGCATATGATTTCATCCCAGCTCCAAAATTAAGGCCCTCTCAAGGAATGCCAGTCAGTGATGATTTATGTTTTAGCAGAAAAAGAGTGTCAAGGAATTTATTTCAGAATGGCTTGGATTTTAACCCAGAGCTGCCTCATGTATATGCTGGTAAGTAACAATTGCAGATAGAGGGCATGCTTAATAAATGAAAGACTTTTTTATACTATGAAATTGATTATTCGGTAAGCATTTATTTACATAACCTAAATGTAAAATGTGGTATCACAAAAAAATTGGAAGAAAACATGTTACCTTTTATAACTGAGATAGGAGGAAATTAAATTAAATAAAACAGCATAAAAGACAAAGTAGATAATTTTAATTGCCATATATTTTCCTTAAACAAAATTAGTGCAACTAAAATTAAAAGAGATGCTATTAACTAGAGAGAAAAAATCTTTTCATCAGTTAACCTCTGATAAAAGTCCAAAATCAACACAGGAAGTAGACACAAAAATATAAGACCAGGAGTCATTCTCTAACAGATAAAATTATATTAAGAAAGTCACAAAACTGTTGATGTCCTTTGGCCCAGTGATCCTCATTGTGGGAATATGCCCTAAGGAAAGAAAGACCTCACAGTATTCATAACAATAGTTCTTCTACCATATATCTTGAAACAGAGTGTGTGTCTAGCAGTTGTGGATGGCTGAACAAACTATGGCATGTGAATGTAATCCAATACTGTTTTACACTGGGAAATGAATATTTAATCCAATTTAAAAGTATTATGCACTTATTAAGTAGTAAGCATTGGGCGCATAAAGAAATAAAATGAAGCACAGTTCCTGCCTTCAGGAAAGGCTAGTCAGATTTAGTGATTAGAAGATACTTGGTAACCTTTAAGAAAGCATTTTTAAATAGAGGTAAGAAAACATTTCAAATAGGAGATAAGATTGGAAGCCATATTGGAATATATAGAGAAGTAGAGAGGAAGTAGAGGAACTGAATATAGATAGATTTTTCTAGAGTTTGGCTGTGGGAGTGGGGAGAAATATTGGGGATGGTAGTATCAAGTGAAGGTTTTGTCAGAGGAGACAGGAAGGAATGGAGTAGTAAAGAGTAAAGAGATGGAAGAGGAGAGAATCAGGAATAATATCTGGAGGGTTTGAAATGCAGAATTAGGAAACAAAAGCAGTTGATAAGTGATGGATTCTCCGTTTTCCCCAAGAAATTATGAGGCATAGTCCTCTGCTGAGAGGGGAAGCTTTAGAAAAGAATAGTTTACTATGGGGAATATGATGATGAATCAGTTAAGGCACAACTGTAACAGATTTGTGACCAATCACATCTGCATAGTTGTATGGTTTCCTTCAGGATTGGGGTTTGGCAGGTTATAAACAATGAGAGGACAAGGGGTCAAGGAATGTGAGAGTGAACAATATTGTATAGTTGAACTGATTAAATATAAAAAAGTTAAGGTATATCTTTGCTACTTACTATATATGTGTGACTTTGGAGAAGTCAGCTTAACCTCACCTGAGTCTTTTTTATTCTTAAAATGAAGGGGGGAAAAATAAAATAAGGGTGTTGGCATCAGATTGCCAAAAATGATAATTAATTGGAGAGTCTGTGGGAAAACAGACACACCAATGGACTGTTAGTAGAGCTGTGAATTGGTGCAGCCATTTTGTATAGCAGTTTAGAACTGTGGTGCCCAGAACATCAGTGAACTCTGGCTCTGACTCAGTGATACCACTACTAAGCCTATTCCCCCAAAAAGATTAAAGATAAAGAATGACCTATATGACAAAAATATTTGTAGTTGCTCTTTTTCTTTGAATTGGAAACTGAGTGTGCCCATAAACTGGGGGATGACTGGATAAATTATGACCATAATATATTATTGTTGCACCATATCAGATGATTAAAAGTGACAATTTCAGGGAAACCTGAGAAGACTTGTGCATACTGATATACAGTAAAGTGAACAGAACCAGGAGAAAAATTTATGCAATAACAATATTATAAAGAAAAACTTGAAAGACTTAAGAACTCTGATACAATGACCCAACATATTTCCAAGGAACCAGTGATGAAACATGCTGTCCACCTTCCGAGACAGATAGGTGATAGACTAAAGGTACAGAAGAAGACACACATACATGTTCGCTTATAGCCAGTGTAGAAAGTATTTTGCTTTTCTCTTTGTTCTTTATTCCCATTCCCCTCCCACCTGTTTCTAGTGCCTTTTTTCTGGGATTACCCCTCATTTGTAATTGCATATACTCTATTTTGTAGCATGCACAGTGACCATACCCCAGTAAACCATTTCAGCAGACAGGCTAAACCAGATTGAGTGTAACCAAGGGGTCTCAAACCCTTTGATGAGTTGGGGAATGTCTACCCCAGGTGTGGGAAGACTTCCACCAGCAAAATGGGTAAATGAGAACAGTTTGTTCCAACAGCCTTGAAGATGGCTGAAACAGGCACCATAGGGCGCTTGGAGCTTGGTTAGACATCAGAGATGCAAAGGTCATCCACTGCATCCTGAGTCACCACCAGTTGTCAACATTTGTCTTATCACTGGACTCTGATGACTCTGGAAGAGAAAGTGAGAGGGACAACTTCATGCAACCCTGCCTCACTTAAATCCAATTTACGTGCAAATCAAAGGACATCACTCATACCATTTTACCATTTTTACCTACCTCAAAGTCCTGTGGTGACAGGCAAGTGACAAAGCAGCACCTGCAGATACACTGGGAGCTATAGTCACAACTCTGCACAAAGGTGGCCCAGGCCATAGGGTCATCTTCTCACTAGACTGAAGCAGCAGTGTGATTCAGCAGCCCTTATGTGTCTGAGAAAAAGACCCACATGTACAAAAATTTATGGCAGCACTTTTTGTGGTGGCAAAGAATTGGAAATTGAGGGGATGCCCATCAACTGGGGAGTGGCTGAACAAGTTGTGGCATATGAATGTAATGGAGTACTATTGTTCATTCAAACTGTACTGCAGAGAGCACAATTCCAATGGGCTGTCCATGTTATTTGAATGCCGAATACATGTTTGCCTAAAAGACTCGACACAAGGCAAGCACTCACATAGAGGTCAGAAGAAGTGATCCAAGCACACTCTCAAGGTCTCCCTGAAGAACCTCGGAATCAGTTGTATGACGTGGAAGACGCTGGCACAGGATTACCTGGCATGGTATGGCTGCGTCAAAGAAGGTGCTGTGCTCTTTGGGCGAAGCAGAATTGCAGTAACTTAAACGAAACATGAGATGCACAAATTTACAGACATCTCCACTTCAGACGTTCATGTGGACTATTTGTACTAGACCTGTGGTAGAGCCTTCTGAGCTTGTGTTGGTCTAATCAGACGTGTTGTACCTTGACCCCAACATAGTGATGTCATCTTGGTCCTCTTCAAGAATGAAGGACACCACCCACCCAACCACCCAACCAAACTTGTCTGTAAATAACTTTTTGCATTGTGTTTCCCTATTAAGATGTGAGCTTCTTGAGGGCAAGAATCTTGTTTTCCCTTTCCCTTTGCATCTGCAACACTTAGCATATTGCCTGGAATATAGTAGGTACTTAATAAATTTTACTTTGATGGGGGAGGGGGAGAAGAGACAGAGGTTAGGCATAAAATAGTAAACCCCTCCCCCAAAAAAAAGAAAGAAAGAAAAGAGGGTCTTTAAACATTTATTTTTAAGGACACAGGAGAAAATTCTGAAAGAATCATAGACAGGCAGGGAGGACACCTTTGAAAATTACATGTTGAGCTTATGTATTTTAGAAGAAACGAAAGCTGTATTTTCATAATACAGATTCGCAGTTTCACATACAGTTGTCTCTTTCAGTTCTCTCTATATTACTTGAAGTTAGGAAGGCCTGAGTTTAGATCCTTCCTCAGACACTTATTAGCTGTGTGACTGGGAAAGTACCTTAACCACTCTCAGCTTAAGTTTTCTTATCAGTGAAATGGGAATAATAGTAGCACCTACTTCACAGGGATGTTGTAAAGCTCGAATGAGATAGTACATGTATTATAGTTTACAAAACTATAATAGCTATTATTATTATTGCTAATTTTTTTTTTGGCTAGGCAATGGGGTTAAGTGACTTGCCCAAGGTCACACAGCTAGTGCATGTTATGTGTGTAAGGCCAGATTTGAATTCAGGTCCTCCTGACTCCAGGGCCAGTGCTGTATCCACCACACCACCTAGCTGCCCCCTATTATTGCTATTATTAAAAAGAAGACTTCTACGTGACTTATTCAAATAAGTTGTTAAAGTCAGGAAGACTAAAGGTGGACAAGAGAACAAATGTTGGTGCAGATTGATCATTTCCCAAGCGAGTGTTTCTGATGTAAATCCACAAGAAGTAGCCCACAAATCTAGAAACTACTTTAGGCAGCAAACACTTGATCCCCTTGCCCAGAAGAGAAATAGACAAGAATGTCTCCAGTTTAGAATGTAAAATGGTGTAAAATCTTAGCAGAGGAGAGAGAGTGGTGATAGCCTATGACACAGTGTTTTGCCACATGACAAAAAATGGGGCAGGGAAAAACACTACAAAGGAATGTTCAAGGCAGAAATTGCAGAACAAAGGAGAACCTGCAGTTCCATCATTAAAGCAACAGTTTTCTGGCAGCTAACAGTGTCAGAGTCTAACAGCAGTCTACTTTTGCTCAGACCCAAACCCAGATCAGGAACTTGCAGAGGTCAGATGGAGGAAGGAAGTGGGGTGAGGAGCAGGGAGTGGAATAGCAATCAGACTTTGCCCTGGCTCAGATCATTTTGGGAGCACCTGGAGACTTTCAGGTCCCTAACCTGAGCTTTCCCTGAGATCCCGTAACAATACAATATTCAGTACTCCAAGAAAGGAGCAACAGGACCACCCCAGACCTTCCCTCCAGAGGTTCCAGAGCTCAGCCCTAACATCAGGTACAAAGTCAGGAAATAGTCTAGAAGAATGAGCAAACAAACAACAACAAAAAAAAGAATCCTATCATAAAAAGCTATTATGGTGACAGGGATGCGTAAAACACAAACCCAGAAGAGGAGAATGACTCCAGAACATCTACAGGCAAAGTCTCAAAGAAAAACACAGCTTGGGCACAGATTCAACTAGAATTCCTGAAAGGGATGAAGCCTAAGTTAAAAAAAAAAGGTTTAAAGTATTTTTATCAGTGTAATGAGAGTGCTAGAGGAAAAAAATAGAGAAGAAATGAGAACTGTAGAAGAAAGAATTGGAAAGAAAAATACCAGCTTGGCACAAGATGTAAAAAATCTCACCGAAGCTAAGTTCCCTGAACATTAGAATGAACCACATAGAAGCTAGTGACTCTATGAGACAACAAGAAATCATAAAACAAAGTCAGAAAGACTGGGGGAAAAAACACAGAAGAAAATGTGAGATATTTCAGAGCAAAAACTGACCTGGGAAACAGATTAAGAGGTAATGATCTTAGAATCACTAGACTGCCTGAAAGATATCACCCAAAAGAGAGCCCAGACATCCCACTCTGTGAAATCATAAAAGAAAATTGTCTAGATGTCTTAGAACTAGAAGTCAAGGGAGAAATAGAAGGAATCAACTCCTGAAAGAAATCACAAAATGAAAACGTCCAAGAACAATATAGCCAAAATTCAGAATTTGTTTCCAGTTCAAAGAAGAAATATATCTTTGAATTCTGTTCACTTTCTCTATGCTACTGTCTCATCCAAAGGCCCAACATTCGTTTTACAACAATGATTAAAATTTTTATTATGCTCATCGTTATTAATTTTTACTGCTCAGATCTTCAAAATTCCTAATGATGCTTTGTAGTTTCTTTTTGACAGTACCACCATTCATTTGGATGTGAATTACCAGAAGTGGGTGACTGTCCTCAAGTTTGTTGCAGGATGCTGTCTATTACATCCTTCATGCATGTCCTAGGCAGCCAGCATCCTTCCCAGCTGGTTGTATGGTTATATCAGGTCAACAGATGACTTAACCTGTACCCCTTAGTCAGTGGTTCACTGCTACCACCTGTCTTCCTGGAGCCAATAACAGATGTCCTCACTGTTGATATCTGTGGATCTCATTGTCCTTCCGCAAAGCTAGGGAAGCTTCTGCTTCTTCAGAAGATCCAGGTCCATCCTTGAATATACTGCAGAGGTCTACTTGCCCACAAGTTCATTTTGCCCTGCTTTATTAGTCTTCCAGCTTCTAAATACCTCAGCTTATTGATTTTATTACTTTGGATTTCCTTTTATTTCCTCAGAATCTCTTTTTTAGAATCTTTAGTTTTAGACCTAGAAAAGACCTCATTTAGACCAGTGCCATCATTTTTACAGTTAGGGAAATGAAGACCCAGAAAGGTTAGGTGATTTGCCTAAAGTCCCACAGGGAGTAAATAGTACAACCAGAGGTACAAACCCAGCACTTTTACTGTATCATGCTACTTCTTAACATTTCATCCTCCCTGCTAAGATGAAGAAATGCAAAATTACCTTCTCCTGTGTCAAGGATACAAATTTGCGCTTAGCTGACATGTAATTATTTTTCCCGTGGCACAGTCTCTGAAGGTCAGCCTCCACAACTACTGAAATTGAGATTCCTCTGTTGCTGTAATTCCCCTGGCTTGCCATACCATGCACTTTTAATACTCTGTTCCTGAATGACTCTTTTTAGAGTATTCTTCCCTTCATTATATTACCTTGCCTCCTACGAATGCTTATAAGAGAAGCTGAGAAAATGCTCAAATAAGCCAGGGACTTTGTGAAGCCAGTATGGTAAGAAATGGAAGACAGAAGAATCTCATGGGTTAACTGTGGACTGTGAATAGGGAGAACTGGTTTAATCAGTCTCTGGGCACACTGCATAGTGAGTGGAAGTTGGGAGAACCAGGAAAAACTGCATGGACCTAGCCCATCCTGTGTGTGGGGATGGGTGGGGGTGGGGGTGGGGGTGGGGGTGCTCACTCTTACACTTTGCCTCCTGAGTGCCTACGGCCTCAAGTGCCTTCTCTATCAAACCCTTTCTCCAGATGTCTTATCCCTTTATCATCTGCCTTAAAGAGTTACCCACATCTGCCCCATTGTATTCATGACCGCACATGCTAACCACACATTTAGGAAACAAAGTACCTTCATAAAATGTAACTCACCTTTATTTACACGGTTGGTTTTTTTTCCTTCTCCAAAAGGTACCATTGGGTCTCAGCAAACAAACATTTCAGGGAAATGTGGACAACTAGGCTTTTCTCAATTGAGTGGAAAAAGTGGTAGTGTGGATTCTGATTTGCAGTTTTTAGGAGCAAATAACAGCCATCAAGATAAAGGTATAAATACTAATTTGTTTTGTAGTATGTACAATTTAGAAGTATGTTCAAGGAGTGCTTATAATTTATATGTGATATATAGTCTCCTCAGAATCATCATATAATTAAGAGAAGCTTGTTGCATCAACAGAACTCTGAATTATTTTTATAAATATGTTTACTTGGAGCTATATGATACTTTTCTTAGGAGCCCTGATTCTAAATATGATGTGGATCTCTGTTGTGAAACAAGCTGTTTTCTTTGTTTGTTTGTTTTTGGTTAGGCAGTAGGGTTAGGTGACTTGCCCAGGGTCACAGCTAGTAATTGTTATGTTTCTGAGGCATATCTGAACTCAGGTCCTCCTGAATCCAGTGCTGGTGCTCTATCCACTGCACCACCTAGCTGCCCCCAAAACAAGCTATTTTAATTAATATTTCATCACATGATCACAACATTGTACTGGAAAAGTGTTATAATAATAATTTTCCCAGATAGTCTAACTTTTGGGATTGGTCAGAGCCTCCCAACCCAGAAGACAGGCCTATCCCCTCAGCAAGCACCCCTTTCCAATGTTAAGTTAGGTAGAATATGAGGTATCTCCAGATATGGTACCATATACCTGTAATGCCTGCTACTAAATGCCTGAGACTAAAGCTGGTAGACTGCTTGAACTGGGCTGACTATATGAGCTTTAATAGGGCTGGAGCTGTTCCAGTGTCTGCACTAAGTCCTGCACTAATATGATGGGCCCCTAGGAGCAGGGGGTGTTAGGAAGGCTGAATTGGACAGGGTTAGAAGTAGAACAGGTAAAAGTTTCTCTGTCAGTCAGCAATTGTATCAGGACTGTGAGTGTCTGGTACATTTCCAGCCTGGACAGGATAAGGAAACCCACTCTCAGAACAATGAAAGGCAAGAAGTATAGCAAAATAGTATTTGAGACTGTCAGCACAGCTGAGTCTGTGGATTATTACCATTAGTAGTTTGGCCCAGGTTTTGCCTTATTTGCAACATCAAAAGTGAATAATCCCAGAAACACTTTAATTTGGATTATATAGCAGAATTGAAATTTCATCATGTTTTATTTTTAAGTGTTAGGGATTTTTTTTTAATTTGCTTATGAAAAAATAATTATCACATGAAATAGGGTAGATTTATTCTGTGGTACATTAACATTTTAGCGTTCCTTAGGGACACTATATTTCCTAAATGCTTTTATATGCATTAGTTGTAATGAAACAGTGCAGTTCTCCTATTTAACTGCCAAATTCCACCAAAATGCTGCCATGGACAACTCTGATCATTTCTATCTCAGACTACCAGAAAGCTAAAAGAACAGGTCTGTTCCTGCTTCAGGATGTCCCAGGGCTAGTTGCCTTTATTTGTAGGTCAACCTAGCAGTTTATAATTGACCCTGAGGAGTCCCATGTAGTTGTTGATTAATTCTAGATCCTGACACAATCATATAAACTCTCACTGGGTCTTTGGAACTGCTGTGCCTGTTCAGAGGTACTGTAGAAAACTAGAGCTAGCCCAGAGCCAAAACACCCCTCCCAAAGGGGAAGAGACAGATTGGAGAAATGTTGGGCCTACACAGTTCTAGACAGTAGTTTCAAAACAACGCCAGGGTCTTTGAAAGGCTCTCAGGGTGTGGCTTCCAGGCGCCTAATGAACTAGAAGCCTCTCCGTTTTTAGATTGTCTGCTTTTCTCTTGGGGCGTTAGGAAAGTTTCTGATTTTCTTACACGTCATCACTTTGATTTAGCAGCTACATCCATACAGACTCTTTTATGATAAAGCTGTTTACTACAGCCCCCCTAGGTAGAGTTTCTTAACCTAGGGTCTGTGCATTTGTTTTAAAAGTAATTTAATTACTGTGTTTTCAATATAATTGGTTTCCTTTATAATCCTTTGTATTTTATGTCATAGTTTAAGAACTCCTGCCTTAAGTGTTTTAGAGTCTGTGAGCAAATGACATGATAAAGTGTATAAATATCATAAGTATAACAAGGTGACTAGAGAATTGGATGAGAAATTAGGAAACCCTAGTTCTGGTTTTAGTCACTAAGTGTATTTTGACCTTTGTTCAATTTCTTAAGGATCCCTACACCTGTAAAAATGTAGACTGTTGCAGGTCCTGGCCCTGCCTAAATTAAGAATAAATGAGACAAAAATGTATGAAAAATTTTGAACTCCCCCAGAAGAAAGCAATTATTTAAGTCATACATGTTTAAATTTTTAATAACAAAATATAGAATACTTCTTTTCTTTGGTACTTAAATACTTAAGAATCTCTGATTTCTTTAGTATGAGTGTCAGTATGGATTGTGGCCCCCTAGTAGATCATTTTTGAGAATTGTGATGGGTGAAAAATTCATCATCTGTGGGCAAGGTCATGATGAGCTTTTCCAAACTTAACTGAACTGGTCTTAGCTGTGACGGATGTATAGTTTTGCCAGGCCAGTACTTAAAGTCTTTCCAGCTTGGTACGACCTTCCAAGGCTTTCACTCTATTGGTGTAGTCTTCATTTACCCACGGTACACAGTGAGTCATTGGAGGAAGACTAAAGTGATAATTATAGGAAATTATTAAAAAATGATAAAGGGGGAAAGTGTTTGTGAGTTAGTTAAGTATATATAAATAGTATATTCTCTTTTATCTTATACAGTGTGTGCAAGCCTAAATTTTGGCAGTAAAACTCAACAAACATTTGGTGGTCCTGCAGAGCATACTTTATCATATCCTAGTCCCAGTACAAGCCAGGGAGCTCTCATCCTTCCATCCTATCCACTCTCATCACCTCGAACCAGTCCAAAACACACATCTCCTCTTAATGGATCTCCAAAGAAGTCTCAAGATAATTCTGTTAACTTCTCAAATTCCTGGCCTCTTAAGAGTTTTGAAGGGCTACCAAAGCCAAGTCCACAGAAAAAGCTCTTCAGTCAAAAATCAGTGGATGCTTCAGGTAAAAATCTGAAAAAAAATAATTCTCTTTGTGTTTTTATTTGTAAGTTTGAATTCAACTTGGAATTACCATAAACTCAGTAGATTGAAACATTTGTCTTAGTATTCTGGGAATAAAAACTAAATAAATTATTGGTGCTACAATGTACAAGTCATTAGATTCCAACCATAATAGTCATCTTTTTTTCCTTAAAATATTTACAGTAACCTTTTACTTGTTGCCCAAAATCTTATCAACAAACAATTATTTGTAGAATTTCATATGGAGTAGCATGTCAGTTGGACAGCTAACATCATGAAGGGATTTCTGATATTCAGTATCAGCTCCATTTTATCATTTTTTTCAATATCTTACCCAATGTCTTAAACAGTTTAATTTATCAATTAACTCAAAAGCATTCCTCAAAAGAGCATTTGCTGATTTTGTTTATTTTGAACACTGAAAATTATTCCTTCTCGTCAAATATACACTGTTCTTACATAATATTTATGTTTCTGTCAACCAGCAGAAAATTGCTTTTGGTTTTAATTTTATTTATTAAGGGAAAATCTATCACTTTTATTATTTTTGATGGAAAATATGTGATTTTTGTTAAAAAATACTATATTCTAGGTTTTTATACACTGTAATTTTCAGCTTCTGTCATTCTGTAAATTGATATAATATCTGTTTTATACAGGAGAAAATTCACAAGAAAAACCTTCTCCGATACAACTTAAACCTGCATTGGTGAGATCACCATGTTCCCGGAGAGGCCTAAATGGAACAAAACCAGTTCCGCCAATTCCACGGGGTATAAACCTATTGCCCGATAAAGCAGATTTTATCACTGTGGAACATGAAAAAGAAGATCTTATTTGGAGGAATGGAAAAGACAATCTTGCAATTGATCTTTCTGAATTAAATGTCAGAGATAAAGAATCAGATCAGGAAGAGGTTAGACTTAAATGTTACTTTTTGAATATCTGCTATTATTTTCTTTATAACTTGGTTATTATAAATTGTTTTGGAATAATAACAATAGCACTGTCGTTTTTTTTTTTACCAGGAATTGACTAATTGATAGGATAGCAAAAAAATCAGTATAATACTTTGACTTAGAATCAATTTCATGGTTACATAGGTGCTACATTTACATTTAATTTATGTTACCTCGGGTTACTTAAGATCAATGTGTTTTGACGTTAATTACCCAGCATTTTAAAATAAAAATACATTGCTATACATACTCAAGTGATATTAATGCTGTTCCATTTTAAGAGACTTAAAATTTAAACATCAGTGTGTAGAGCTAAGTCACAAAGCATAATAGTAAAAATAAATAAAGCAGTTAGTTCAACATATAGATACTCAGGGAAAAAAAAAACAGATGCCTAGTACTGCTTTTCCCTAATTTGGATGTGGCAAGAGAAGATAATATCCACAAGTAAAAGTCACAAAGGTAAAGAAACTTAGAGTACATGATGTGTTCGAATTTAGACTTTTTGTAGACTTTATTTCATTTAGTGTGAAATTTCTACCATAGAAGTACCCTAAAAATTAAATGGAAAAAACAATTGAGTCTTATATTCTTTTTAACCAGTTAACTGTCTTAGCATGTTTAGCCCTAGTATAACTACCCTCATTATTTGCTATTGTATATACTTAGTAGTTAAAGAAGCATTTTGTTTTAGAAAGAGCTGTATATTTTATGGCCAGTCTGTATTCAGACTGTCACAGAAGAAAAAACCAAAAGGTTTTTTAAATACTTCTTTTACACAAGGGACTGTGGTTGGTGCTGGATAGGATGGTGATAAGGATAAGGATAATGATGAAATGGTTCTTTTAAAAAATTGTATTTCTTGAATTAAAAATTGTAATTATTTGTAGAAAGGCTTCTTAAAAGATTAGTTTTGTGCATAGGTATATAACTACACATCACTAATTTTCAAAGCATAATTCACTAATTTGCCCAAGGTTCTGTCCTGAAATGCTTATCTGCCAGGATTCTATCTTTAGCCATTACCTAAATTTTTAAATGATCAAAGTTTAGGTTACTGACAGCTTTTTCAGTCAGCACAGCATATTGGATAGAGACCTCTGGGTGATTGTGGACAAGTCACTTAACCTCTCAGTGCGCTAAGCAATCTCTTACCACCATAAGTTGCAGAAGAGGTACCTCCCTGAGTTGGTAGAGGCAGTTTCTTCACGTGGGAGTTCCCTATTCCAGGAAAATTATAGGAGTTATATATTCCAAACCTACATTTGTGTTACATTATAATACTAAGGAGGTTTTTAGTTTTCAGTATTCCTATTAGAGCCACATTAACGCCACAACCTGATGCTAACAATTATTGGCTTCAGCTTAGTTAACTGTGAGAAGTTAAAGGGTTTTAACTTCCCTTTTCCTTGACCTTCTGCACATACCTTCAAATCCTTGATTATAAAGCCCTCTGCATTGTTGTTTTTATGTGTTAAACTCCCATTTCTCATCCTGTTCAAGAAATACTTGGTACCTAATTGCTTAGTAGAAGCTAGAACCTAAAAATGAGTCCCTGATTGCTAATGTGCAATTTGTGTAAGGTTGCCAGCTTTTTCAGTAGCATCATGAAAGCCTATTAACAAACCTCACTGTAAAGTTATTCACTACAATGTCTCCCAGATTACTACTCTCTATAATAATTGTTCATTTAGAATTAACTTCTCTTTGTGCTCTACCATTTACCTAACTTAGTGTTATCACAAAACAAATTAATGACTTGGGGTATGGCTATTAAAAAATAAAAGCTTAAATCAACCTATAAATTTAATTCTTTTCAACATTTTTTAGATGCAGAGCTCTCTTAGATCTCTTCGTAATAGTGCAGCTAAGAAAAGGGCAAAGCTGAGTGGCAGTACTTCTGACCTTGAAAGCCCTGATTCTGCAATTAAACTTGACTTGAATATGGACTCCGCCTCCCGGTCATCCTCTCCAAATGTCAGCTCATACAGTGAAAGTGGAGTTTACAGCCAAGAGTCTTTGACTTCTTCTCTGTCAACAACTCCCCAGGGAAAGAGAATAATGTGTGTTTTGGGCCTTTTAACAAGTATATGCTTATATTAATTCTGTGCACTGTTGATATTGTATCAGGCTGAAGTACTTTATAATATAAACTAGCTTTAGAATTAATATTTACAAGTTTCTGTTTCATTTTTTGCCTTGTTAGATTTTAACTTCCCTTTCCTAGAATACCACATCTGTTCCTGCCTTCAAGTTACTAATACTAATGACCCTATTTTAGCTTGTCCAGCTTCCTCTAGTCTTCTGGAGGTACAGATTCATATCTCTTAGACCACTGCTATTTAGATCTAGCCTTGCCATTGACAACTGGGTCACGCTGCCACTTAGTTGCTACCACTCAGTCTTCCAAAATGGTTGTGAGGTAGTCTTCTGAAGAATATCCTTATCGCAAGAATTAATTTAATTCAACTGGACTTAAAGTCACCTGGCCTTATTCATGCAATTCATGGTGACCATTTTGTTCTTCCTAGATAGCTATACTCCAACAGCTCTACAACCAAAGTCCCAAGCTAGACTTTTGAGCTTGTTTGTATCTGTATTTAGTTGTTGGAAGTTCTTACTCCATGCTTTCATGTGAGGTTGTATACACAGAACATTTAATACACAAAAGAATTGATCGTTGCTATTTTAACTTTTCCCTATCATCTATTAGGAGTAAAGTGTAGTGGAAAGAACCCTAAGTTAATATATAGAAAGCCCAGGTTCCGATCCTGGCTCTGCCACACTTTGGGCAAGTAACTTGACTTCTCTGGACCTCACTTTCCTCATCTGTAAAAGGAAGAGATTGGAATAGGTGGTGTCTAAGGCTCTTTTCAGTTCCACAATTTTGTGATCCTACCAGTTAAATATTTAAAATAAAGTTAAACCTGTAATGGTTTAAGTGAAGTCTAACTAAAACTTATTAGTTGCATAATCAAAAGAAAAAAAATAGAAATGAGTGCAAAATGGTTATGATGCTTGAATCACTAGATCTAAGAGACTAACTATATTTTCTATACCCTGTTGTGAGAAGTTTGTCTCTTCAAATGATAACCTATACATTCCAATCTTTTAAAATGTTTTACTACTGATTTTTTTCTTACACAGAATTCTTTTATTCTAGCTCTTCTGCCAAATTAGAATAATAAAATGCATGATCAGAACAGAATTTTTAGGTCAAAGGATTTTTCCTTGGTCTTCCTAAAAGGCGATTATATTAGATAATGCTGAGATCTGTAGTATCGTATAGAGCTGGAAGAGACCCCAGAAGTCTGTTCCTCAACAAACATTCATTAAGCACACATCATTGTGGTAGGCCTTGGGAATCCCCGGATAAAGAACGAAATAATCCCTTTTAGAACACATGGTCCTACCCCGTAATTTTATAGAGAAGGAAACATGGCCCAGAGAGAAGTGAATTTTCCAAGGCCAGTCATTAAGTAAATATCTGAATAGGAACTTGAGCCGAGACACTGATACCAAATTGATAGAGTGTCATGCAAACCCTCTGGAACACAGAGTACTACATAGATTCAGAATCTATCATTTTATGTAGCAATACTAGTCTATCAGACAGTAGAGGCCAGTGTTAGAGTGTTTAGAGAACACTTTAAGTACCTGCCCTATCAGTAAGGTCTCAAAATGCCTTTAAATTTAAGACTGCCCAAAAAAACCCAAATTTGGCTTTTTAATACCTGTACTGACATCACTCAGTTGATAATGATAAAAGTATATGAATAGTTTTCAAAGGAAGAAATCAAAGCTATCGAATAGCCTTATTTAAAAAAATGTTCTAAATCACTAATAATTAGAGAAATGCAAATTAAAACAACTCTGAAGTACCACTTCACACTCATCAGATTGACTAAAATGACAAAAAAGGAAAATGACATATGGGTGGGACTGCAGAAAAACAATTGGTGGTGGAGCTGTGAACTGGTCTAACCATTCTAGAAAGCAGTTTGGAACTATGCCCAAAAGATATTAAATTATACCTACCCTTTGGCCCAGAAATATTGCTAAGAGATCTGAGGAAGAAGACCCATATGTACAGAAACTTTAGTAGCAACTCTTTTAGTGGTGACAAAGAACTCAAGACTGAGGGGATGCCATCAGTTGTGGAATGGCTGAACAAGTTAACGTATGTGAATGTCACGGAATACTATTGTGCTATAAGAAATTATTAAAGGGAGGGTTTCAGAAAACCTAGGAAGACTCATGAAATATTACAAAGTGAAATGAGCAGAACCAGGAGAATAATCTGCAGAGTAACATTAATATTGTGAAGTTAATCAGCTTAAAGAGACTTAGTAATTCTGGTCAACATGACAACCAACAGCAATTCCAGAGGACTCACAAGCATATTTCTCTCTCTCTCTCTTTTATTTTGGCATTGCTAATGTGGGACTTTTTCTTGCATGATTATCCATATTTGTAAGGGGTCTTGATTTTCTTGCCTTCTGGGAGGTGGAAGAAAGGGGAAGGGAAAGAATTTGGGACAGAAAAGAAAATTCTATTTTAAAAATTAAAGAAGGCATTAGAGAGTAATGTGTCACCTCAGAAGTTTCTCCTCAAATTATAAACAGTGCTAACAAGCAGTAAACTCAAAGAGCAGGAAAAAAAAATAAAGACTTTTTTTCATCCCAAGTCACATGTACTTGAACATTTCTGAATAATTAACTCTCAGCAATTTTTTAAAAGATTTCTTATTAAGACAATAAATACTCCAGCTCAGATTAGTTTTATAGTTATCAGTGTCTACTAGATCTGTTTCATATAATCAACTGTCAGATATTTATAATGTGACTAATGTATACTGGTTCAAAGTCATTCTTTTAAAATTCCTAATTAATACTGTCCATGATTTTCTTTCTTGATGAAACAAGAAATACGTGTCTTTCTGATGCCAGGAAACGAAAACTAAAAAATTACCTAAAATTTTTCTGTCTCTTCTTCTAAGGAAGAAAGCTGTTTATAATTTACATTGGTTTCTGATTCCTATATTTATAATGCAATTAATTTTTAGTTACTCTAGGTAGTGCAGGGATATAGATAAATGCAGTGGATGACTCGTGATCATTCTGTTTTGTAATGTACTATTTTGGATCCATTATTAATGGTTCCTCCTATAACAGCTCTTCAGAAGGAATTACAAGGTTCTAGTTTGTCTCACACATACACACATACACACGTACATATACGTACTTTTGCATAAATAGTGAATTGACAGCTTTGATATAAGATTTGTATACTTAATTTTTCATGTCTTACTCTCTAAAATAGTTTCATGAAGAGCAGTGATGTGCTAAATATTTTCTACATATTTAATATTCTTATTTGATTGCTTCATATTTTTTTAGGGCAGACATCTTTCCTACATTTGGATCCAAACCTTATTCAACAAGCCTCTCCTCTGCAAAAAATAAGAATTCTCATGTAGTGGAACAGAGCTCCAATTCAGGTATTCATTGTCCATATTACAGACAAATAAAATGTCTAATAGAAGCAAGAAACTTCCTCATTAGAGGAAAAGGTGAAATTTTACATATATGGTGATGCAGAGTATATTTCGTATCTAAGGTTTCTTTGAGTAGGCATTCTTATGTATTGGATCTTTTTTGTTTAAAAGTAAACTAACAGTGAAACATGATGTCTATCTCCAGATAGAGAAGGGATTGACTCGGCATAGATTGAAGCATATTTCCTTCCTCCCTTCTCTCCTTCTTTTCTTCCTTCTTTTTTACACATATTTGTAGTAGTCTTTGTTTTTCCATGGATGGGAGAGGGAGAGAATTTGGAACTGAAATTAAATAAAATTGAATTACTTTTTTGAAGTTAACTAATAGATCTGTAACTTACCAGTTTAATTTATGAAAAATAACATGGAAATTTACCTTAGAAACATGAGATAAAGAAGTGTATATACCATACACTTTTGTAGTTTTCCCTTTTTCCTCATAGTTATTCAGCTTTCAGAAGAAGGGATAGGGTATTCTCCATGATATTTTGTGATTCCTTGTAGCAGCTATACCTGACCAAGCATTTTTTGCTTCCTGTTGGCTTCCTGATACATCATGGAACACTTTGTTCTGTAAAAATAGTGTTATAAGAACTGATAAGTTTCAGCTAGACAGTGAGTTAAACAGTATTGTGAAATGGCTTGGAAGATCATTGACTTTAGAAAAGTGAATTTCAGATTCAAAATGCCCTTGCCTCATAACTGTATTGAATACTTTCCTCTGAAGACTCCCTCTTCTTTCCTCCTCCTCTTCTGAAACCATCCCTGTCTCCACCAACATTATCTCCCACCATTTCCTCCTTTATTCCAATCTCTGTTGAAGAAGTGAGACTTCTTACAAACCATAAACCTTCTACGTGTGCCTTTGATCTCATCCTCACCTATCTTCTGTAGCAGATTGCTTCTACAATTTTCCCTACTTTCTCTTTAATCTTCAATGCCTTCCTTTCTATTGGTTCTATCCCTATGTGTCTACAAATGCTCTCAGGTCCCCCTCATCCTGTAAAAATCCTTACTAGATCCTATCATCCCACTAATTAGTATCATCTATCTCTTTCCTTTTTGAGCCAAACTCTTTTAAAAAGCCATCTGTAGGGGCAGCTAGGTGGCACAGTGAATAGAGCATCAGCCCTGAAATCAGAGGAGCTGAGTTCAGATTCGGCCTCAGACCAAACACTTGACATTTACTAGCTGTGTGACCCTGGACAAGTCACTTAACCCGAATTGTCCCCCAAAAAAAGGGGGGGGAAAGCTATCTGTAGTTAGTGCCTCACCTCTCTTCTCTTCTTAACCCTTGGCAATTTGTCTCAATCAGTTGAAACTACTCTCTCCAAAGTTACTAACAATCTACTGACTTACATGTCTAATGACTGCTTCTCTGTCCTCAGCTCCCTTAACTTCTGTGCTTCATGTGACTTTCTTGATCATCCTTAGTCATTAAGCATTTAATCCTACTATGTTCCAGGCACTGTGCCAAATCTGGGGATACAAAAAGAAGCAAAGGACAGTCCCTGGCCTTGAGGAGCTCGCAGTCCAGTGGGGGGAGATAACAAGCAAACAAATATAAACAAGTTATAATAAAAGATAAATAGGAAATAATTAACTGAGGGAAGGCACTAGAATTAGAAAGCATTGGAGAAGAATTCCTATGGGAGGGTATAATTTTGGTTGGGACTTAAAAGAAGTCAGGAAGTTCAGTAGTTGGAATAGAGGAGGAAGGGTGTTCCTGGGCCTGCTTCTGTGCTTTTGCATTAGCTGTCTCTCAAATCCTGGAATGTATTACCTCTTCAACTTCAATTTATCACATCCCTGGTTTCCTTCAGAACTCAGTTCAAGCACCATCTTCTATAGGAAACCTTTCCAAGCTGCTAGGGTGCCCCCTCCCAAAACTTCTTGTATTCATTTTGTGTGTGTTCTGTTTATGCTCATATTTGTACGTGTCCTCTCCCTCATTTGAATGTAAATTCCTGGAGCACATGAACTGTTTCAGTTTTATTCTTACAGCCCTCAAGTTTAATTTAGTACCTGGCACATAGTAGGTTGATTGATTGATTTTTAATAACCAGCTACTTCCAAACAAATCTGAACTGTAGTCACTTTCAGTGGGACTGTGTCATTTCTATTTTTGGATTGTTTAAACTGTTAGAGTATGGATTAGATTTAATAAATTCATGAATTACATTTATTTTAAGGTTGTTACAATTTTAAGTTCTTACTTTATTAATTATTTTCTTACTAAGTTATACATTCAAATTTTATAAATTTAAACTATGTAATTTGAATGCAACATGTGACAGTGATTCTTAAAGGAATTGTGCAATGATCCAATCCAGTAAACATTTATTGGCTTTCTTACTATGTGCAAGTTACTGTGCTAGAGCTTGAGAATACAAAGACAAATTGGAAAGCAGTTCCTACCTTCAAGGAGTTTACATTCTACAGGATGACAAAACATGTAAAAGTATAAGTATATACCTGATTATTTGAGATAGCAATAACAACTAAGGAGATAAGGAAAGGAAGTGGCAAATGAGTTGAGGCTTGAAGGAAGCTAAGAGGAAGAGGGGAGAAAGGAGTATGTTTCAGGAATGGAGGACAGTCTAAGCAAAGCATGGACATAAGAGTTGGAATGCTGAGCTTAGGAAACAGCAGATGGCCTCAGCCTTTGGATCATTCCTGCCATCTGCTCGCTGCCTTCACTCCTACACACACACATGTTGCTGAAAGAAGCTGGAGAAAATCATACAACCATTGTGACTGGATCTAATACAAATTTGTGGTACATTATCTCAACTGGACCCTCATTGCTTTAAGGCAACTTTTTTTACTCTTCCTTATTTAACTCACAATGCCTCTCTTCATAGGAGCTCTTTTAAACCTTTTCTTTCTTTCTCAACCCTCCCCTGGCTTATTTCCCTCTGCCTCTCACCCTTTTACCTGAGAACCTTGCCTCCTCGATTACTGAAAAAATTTAAACCATTCACCAAGAGCTCCCTCTTCTCACATCACCCAGATGCCTTTTGTCCTCCCATCTCATCTTTCATTCCTGCATCACGTGACGAAGTGGTCCTTCTCCTTAGCAAGACAAACCCTTTTACCTGCACAAGGAATCCCATTCCATCCCATCTTCTGTTGCCCCCTCTATCATTCCCACTCTCTCACTTACCTCCCTGTCTACTACTTCCCTACTAACATGCCTACAAACATATCCATGTCTTTCAGATCCCAAAAAAACCCTCACTTGATCTATCCATCCACCCATGCTAGCTGTCATCCCATGTCTCTTTTCCCTTTTGTGCCTAAAATCCCTATCTACAATAGTTGTTTCCACTTCATCTCCTCTCATTCTCTTCTCATCATTCAACTGAAACTGCTCTCTCCAAAGTTACCAAGGATCTCTTAACTGCCAAATCCAGTAATTCTCATTCTTCTTGACCTCTCTGTAGCTGTCAATCACCCTCTTCTTGATACTCTTTTCTCTCTAGGTTTTCGGAACACCACTCTCTCCTGGTTCCCCCCCCCCATCTGACTGTTCCTCAGTCTTCTTTACTGGATCTTCATCCAGATCTTGCCTGCCAACCACAGATGTCACAGAGGGCTCTGTCCTTGGACTTCTCTTCTCCCTCTCTAGTGTTTTCCTTAATGATCTCATCAGTTACCATGGGTTCAATTATCATCTCTTAGCTAATGATTCTCACATTATCCAGCCCTAACCTCTCTGTGACCTGCAGTCTGGTATCGCTAACTGCAACTGCTTTTTAGACATCTTGAATAGGATATTGTGTAGACATCTTAAACTGGACTTGTCTGAAATTGAGCTCATTATTTTTCTCACAACAGCTTCCCCCTTGTAAACTTCGTTATTATTACTCAAGGACTCCACCATCTTCCCAGTCACCATGTTCTCAACCTACCTGTAATCATTGACCCTTCACTCTTCCCTCCCAACCCCAGCACCACATATACCCATATCCAACATATTGCCAAGTCATGTCAATTCTGCTTTCATAGCATGTCTCATATTTAGCTCCTTCTCACCTCCAGCACTGCCACCACTCTGGTACAGGTCCTCATCATCTCACCCTGGGACTTTTGCAGTAGTTTTCTGATTGGTCTCCCTGCCTGAAGTCCTCCCCATGCCAGTCTATCCTCTACTCAGCTGCCAAAGTGATCCTAAAGTGCAGATCTGACCATGTCACCCTCCCTATTCAATAAACCAATCACCTCCAGGATCAAATATAAAATCCGTTGTTTGACATTAAAAGCCTTTCATAATCTTCCCCCATGCCTATCTTCTTATACTCTGTGCTACTCCCAACCTTTCCAATCTTCTTATACTTTATGCTACTCCCCCTTCCCCACTCCCACCCCCATAATCCAGTGACACAGGCCTCCTTGCTGTTCTTTGTGCAAGACTCTCCATTATCTCCCATTTCTGGACATTTTTACTGACTGTCCGCCATGCCTGGAATATTCTTCTTCCTCATCCCTACCTCCTGTCTTCTCTGGCTTCCTTCAGGTTTTAGCTAAAATTCCGCCTTCTTCAGAGGGCTTTTCTAGAGCCATCTGAATTCTAGTGCCTTCACTCTTATTATTTCCAATGTATTGTGTGTATAACTTGTTTCTGTATAGTTGTTTGCATGCTGTCTCCCATGTTGTGCTTGTGAGCTCCTCAAGAGCAAGGACTGTTTTGTTTTTTAAACCTTTCTTTGTATTCCCAGTGCTTAGCACAGTGCCTGGCAAGTGCTTAATAGATGTTTGTTAACTGACTGAGATAGTAGTCATCCAGAACCTGATGGCTGTTATCTACCAGTCTCCCCTTTCTCTCCCCCAGTCATTCTTCCTCCATTTTCTGGTTCAGCACTGACTCACATCGTCCACTCTAAATTTACATTCTATTATCCCTACTGGTCCCACACTGGTATTTGGCAGTCCTTTTACTT